GCATTTGAGATGATAAATTTAGGTTAAGAGGAAGAGCAAAACAATCTAGGGTTATTTTTAGTGTTGGGAATAAAGTAAAAAGGAGCCGACAAATTCTTACACTACTCCACCATGAAAGTGATAAGAGAGAAGTTGCTTTTGGGGGTATTGGGTTAGCATGTAGCATATAGCCTAAATAAATAATTTTGGGTTAGTCAAAGTCCTGGTCATGCATATGTGATACTCTCAAATAGAATCCGCAATTACAGATCAAAGACTGTTATAAAAAGATAAAGTATATGAAGAAACAACATTATAATAGTGTAAAATAAAATGTCTATAGAACAAGAGATTGAGTCATATGGGGGAATACTACTTTTGTCTCATTAGATAAAACAAAGTGGATTTTAACTTTTACATCACTTGAGAATTGAGATATCAAAGAGTAGCTTCAACAAGCAACGAATATGTCACCCATTTTTTATATAATTTAACTTATATTATTATATTAATTAAATAATAAACAAGCAAAAAAATTAAAAAAAAATTAGAACACTACTCCTTACTTTCCATGCACGTCATGCACTTTTCTTTCACGTTCTTTCCCTTATTATTCTCTATATAAGTATTATATTAATTTTAAATCAAGGTGTTAAATGAATTAATTAGAGAGTTTTAAGTATTTTAGGTTGGCATATATATAATATAGATACAGCTTTGCGGCTTTACCTTACTTTTTGTACTTTTATGTGAAAGAAATAGCTTAAAAAAAAAAAAAATGCTTTCCTCAAAGGCTAAGACACTTAAATTCGGTGTAAATTTTCGATAAGATAAGTGTTTGTATATTCATTTAATCACGATAAAAAATGAGGGTAAATTTACTCTTGAAACACCAAGACATAGAACTGATAGAACTAATTAACTAAATCGAGGAGAATTAATCTTATTTTTTCGAGAAGAAATTTTTTTTTCTATTAAAAAAACCCACAAAAGAATTTACTAGAGTAAATATTTGAAAATTTAAAGCTCTCTCTATGAAAAAAAATCAAAAAAATGAATAATTCTTTGCTAATTTAAGGATTCATAAATTTATAAAGCATGTATAACATCGACGGTAATTCTTGTTTATAGATTTTTTCATTCAAACCGTCGTTATATCATTTATCACATCATTAAATTTTTCGTGTATTTATTTAAGGTAATTTGCGACAAAATTCAAGGTATAATAAATTAAATTAAATAAAAATAAATTTAGTAGCTTCATTGAACTGTATAATGTACAAACTACCTGAATTGCAGCAGTGGAGTCTTCACACTCTTTGTCATCAAGGCGATACTCATGCATCACCCAATCAGTTCTTATTCCCTGAGGAGCTCGCCCTCTGTAATAAACCAATGTCTTCTTCATTCCGATGGCTCGATTCTGATACGAAACTCTCCGGTCTTTTCCCGTCGATTTCCAGTATCCAGCTCGTGTTGCCCTATTCGTTCTGAACCCGTTCGGATACTTCCGGTCCCGAGGTCCGAAAAAGTACCACTCCGGATCCCTACTTGGTAAAAATGATTTCTCTACAACAGCAACAACAATGTATGTATTAAAACGTGTAAATAAGTTCAAAATTTTCTCCTGCCATGGAGATTTACAGAAAGAAAAAATAATGGGGTTTGGGAAGAAGATATAATAGAAAACTTGTCGAAATTCATGGGAATATACAATGAGGATGGGAAATAATGAGATATAGAAGAGAAGAATAAACCTGCTAACTCCCAAGGCTCACATTTGTAAAGATCAACTTCAGGAATAATGTCGAGTTCAATCTCTTGGCCATTGATTTTTCTCTTGAGATAGTAATTGACAAGCTCTTCATCGGTGGGATGAAACCTGAAACCAGGAGGCAATCCGACGGGCGCCATTGCCGTTTTTATTATTAGTTGGTTTTATCTTTCTCTGCCACCCAGTCTCTCTCTCTCTCTCACTGTAAATGGAGCCTTTCTTTCTTCTTATCTTTACAATTACGAGTTTATATAAAGGATTCAAAACCCCGTCTCTTTGGCTGATTTTACACTTTCTCTTTTCGAGATTCTTGGACAAACGTTTTCCGCAAGCCCTTTATTTTTCTTTTCTTTTTTTTTTCCTGGAAAAATAATGTTCCAAGTTCTTTATACATTCACTCTCAAATTCCACATCTTTTCTTTGTGGATTCGTCGGCTTACTCAATCGCCAGTAATATGTGAGTATATAATAGAGTATAGTATCAGATGGTCCCTGGACTTCATCTAGCTGAGAAATACTTACACGAGACGCAGGGGCAGAGC